GAAAACCAAGAAGACCAGAAAGCATTAAGGGTCCCACAGGACCTACAGTAATTGGAACTCTCTTGCATGGAACTAATGAGGGCACTGCAAGAAATGCAAAAATATCAAAAATCAAGATAGATAATTTGAGTAGTGAGAGTCATGTTTTCACAAAGTGAAACGTAAGATTGTTCAATGAATGCAAGGAGATTCATGCAGAAAAAGGACTAGGCATGATATCTGGATTCAACAGGAATCTTTTTATGTGATGCATTACCTAAACTCATGTATAAATATAACCAAACTAATAATCATTGATCAGAAAAAGTTTGGGGATGATTGCTGAACCCACATTTATTACAAGGGGAAGTGGATATTTTAATCTTCCACATTGTATGTAAAGTTAATTGACTTTGAAATGAAAAACTGAGTCATGTTGGACATTTGCTATCCTCTTTCTTCCAGATATTTTACTTTGAGGCAGTTGATGAGACAGCTCTTTGGAATAGTCAGATTCTACTAGCACCCAATTATAACAACCATCCATAAGAGCCACTGCTTGTGTTTAAGCTTGTGAATACATGTTTCTCTTGTATTTATTTAAAACATGAATTTCAAACACGCTTTTCCTTATAGGACCCCTTGATTGTTTGCTTGCACACATTTTATTACTCAAATTAAAGGACTCAACAGTTCAACCCTCAGTTTCATATATTCTTTTCGTATTGAAAGCTTTCCCTTCAAACAGAGAAAACTAATTTATATTGTATGAACTGACAGCACTGTCAAAGATTTCTAAAAGTTTGAAATAGCCAATGAAAAATTATACAAATATACATTTTATAGTATCCACAAATAACCCAGGATTTACTACAAAATATTTTAAATAAATTAAGTTCAAATTATTGTGCACCAATGCTACAATGTTCTATCTAAACATATCTGCATTAAAGAGTCATTTTAGGATACTAAAATATATGTTTACCTCACATTTAGTGCTTATAAGAATTAGCATCAATAAATAGAATTAGCATTCTCTTTATATGGTTGAATAAAGTGACATTAATGAAAGATACACTGTTTATTCTGTAATTTGCTAAAATACTACTTGGTCTATATAGCTTTTAAATAAATGTGGAAGACCATGCTAATCTGTTAATGGTTGATATCAGAAGGTCACCACTATTTAATTTTATTTTTCCCTTTTCTCTTCCATATGCCTGAGAGGGAAATTAATGTATTATGCACAGAAACAAATACAGTGGTTGAAAGGACAAGGGCAGGCATTCCAAGGTTAAAGATGGGATTTCCAAAAGCCCTATTATTCAAAACCTTGGATAGCTCCCAGTTAAAGATTCTAATATTTCTCCCCTCTAACAGACCTCAATGCAAACTAATACTATGTGCCTTAAAAGATATTACTTTCTGGTTTGCAAACCGCAGATAAATTAATAAGGACAAAATCTATTCTATCCCAAAATTATTATTCAAAATCCCAGTTGCCCTCAATCCATGCTCTTCTTTGCCTTTCCTGCAAAATCCTCATTTTCTATCAAGCTGATAATAGCCTGTATCCAAAGTATTGAGGAAGACAGCTAAACATCCATGTATTATCATACAAAAGCAATTTTATGCACAGATCAGCATAAGCTATTCAATGGTGCATGATTCAACCAAGACTGTCTTTCTAAATTTTGCACAAAGCAGTGGGACTCAAGCATAGAGCTTTGATTTTTCAGAGAAAAAACAGCACTCATTTCTAAACTAAAAAATAATAATAATCTTAATCTGATTTCATGGGATATTTCTGGTTTCCTAATTCTGATGCGTTCTTTTGTCATGTATCAGAAAAGAAGGTTCAAAGATTAATGAAGAACTCAGAGATACGTTGTTTAAATATTAGATTTATTAGATGACCATAGCCTCTTGATGTGGCTGATAACCACACAATTCACATAAATCCTGGATCCCCAGACTGATACCTATAACCACTGACATTTTCTTCGGTGCCCACTATTACTGCCAGCCAACTGATCTAAGTTCTTTTAATTAAAAATAAGAAGCTAACTTATCAAGAAGCAAAACATTCTCCTCAAGGATAGCATTTTATTTCCAACAATACTTTTGAGTCCGAGAGGCATTCTTAAAACATAATGTAGTTGATAGCTAGAGACCAAAATTTTGGAAGAGTGTTCACCTTTCCAGAAAACAAAATATGCTAAGGAGCTATTAATATCTTGAAAAGGGATTATGATAAATTATCTTACCAGTTTTATCCCATGGTCATTTTTTTAATTGGTTATCTGTAGCATAACAGCCATTTTGTTATGGTGTCTCGAATATGTCAAATATAACAATCATAAGTTATATGTCAAATATAACTTATGATTGTTAGAGATTCATGTCTTTCACACTGGCCTATACATGTGAAACCTAGTTGTATGTGTAAAATTGTACACTATAAAACACAGAATACTGTATGTGCTTGCCTATGTTGAAGAAGATTGGATTATTTGTACAATTTTAACTGTTGCACTCTATCCCATTCTTCCTTTTGTTTAAGTAGTTCAGAGAACCTATGTTGATATAAAGAAATGAATGACTAAATATATAAAATAAGCAGTCAGTTAGAAGTTCTAGGTGTTTACCCATGTAAACCACTTTTCAGATATTATGTTTAACACATGTATTTGGGGTATACAGATAAACACCAATCCAAACAACATGATTAATTTAATTCAAACCGATGTAATTATTTCAATCTATTCAGAAAACTGAGTCAATTCCATTTGATTTTCTGACTTGATTACGGGAGAAATGACTTAAATGGCTTTGAATCAATGTCTAATGCAAATGTTAAATGCACCAAAGTGGCTTCTCCCCCAATTTTCTGTGCTTGGAAAAGAGCATTTTGCACAGGGCTGTAGTCAAGGTCAATCACATTGTTTCTAATTGTTTCTAATTTTGTCATCACCCAAAGAGTTATATATAAATACTTTTTTTCTCACCTTTCAAAAGAAAGCACTGTATATTTGTTTGTCCTCTTTGGTCAGCTGGAGAGGAAATGATTACTTGCTACAACAATGAATTAAAGGAAGGGATATGTACAATTTTCGGACATTAGTGGTTCTTGGTTTGTTGAAAAAACAGCATCTATCAACTTTCAACAAATTCCACACAATAAGTGTGCCAGCAACCACCGGCTTTTCACTTCAGAGAATGAATACTTTTTGCAGAAGATAAAGTAAGGAACAGTCCTATTATTGGAAAATAGGAATGACAGTAAAGTCATATTTTACATTCCTTGCTTTTGCTGTGATAGGGTGTGTTTTTTTAAATTCAAGGTATATTATTAATATTGGATGAATGAATGGAATGGATTAAAAAATATCTGTAAAAATACATTGAAAAAAATCAGTGAAATATTTTTACTTGTTAAGAAGGAAGATTTTTAAAACCCCACCTGTCTAGCCTTCTAAACTGAAGGTCATAAGAAATAATATTATACAATGGTTACATTAGCAGACTGAGACTAGTACAACCTGGGGTCAAATACTGTCTGAGGAATGAAGCTCATAGGATGACCTTGGACAAGTCATCACCTGACAGTATAAGCAACTTTGTGGGCTTATTGTGAAAGTAAAATGATGGGAAGCAATACATACTTTTGCTTCAATTCCTGAATAGAAGGCAAGATATAAAATGAAATAAATACATGAGATTTTTTTAAAGAGGTATTATTTTTCCCCCCTTAAAGCAAGGCTAGGTGAATCAGGTTATCTGTTTAAGCAACATATTCTGAAGCTGATAGGAAGAAAAAAATAGCTTCTTGTCAGGTGTTTAAGAATAGTCTGTTCCATTGGGACTGAAAGCCACATAAATGAGCCAGCTTGCCAGTTCAAATCCCAAAGGTTATGGTAGCATTCTGAAAGCCAGTGTCATCACTGCTTTTAAGGACTTGAATTGTAATCAGAGAAATCCAGGTTCACATCTCCATTCGGCAAGGAATTCAGTAGTTATATACCCCCAATTTAATTAAATCAGCTAAAAATTCCATCTTCTGCTTTTACATGGTCTATCCTTGATTAATAATAAAACTTGATTTTGAAATTTATTTGTACATTAGGGGCTATACGTAAACCTAACCTGTTCAGTTATATTCATGGATCAACACGTTCCCATGTAAACCCAGGAATGAATAAATAAATGAATAAAGTTAGTTCCTGAGTTAAGCAAATTTATAGGGGAAAAAGCCACTAGTGCATGATTTGTGACCAACAATATTCAGTATCCTACATTAGAGAATTACTGTGGACAGGAAATGACAGAGAACCTTCATTTCCATCACCTTAATGTCTCAGATGAGATATAATTTTAAAATAACAAAGTAAGTGTGCCCAGGAGCATATTTAGATTTATGGACAAGACTGGCATGTGTTTTCCAAATGGAAACAGAATTTGATTCTTGTTTTTGCAGGAAGGCAGAAGAAATGGAAAGGGGACAAAGAAGATCTGTGATTTCTATGGCCCTCATCCTCGCTTCTGGTTTCTTGGATGGTCTTTCTTGAGACAGGAATGAGTTCTGGTGAAGAAAACTTTGCCAGGGAGGAAGACTAACTAGCTCTCTGAGATTTATTTTTTAAATAGGATGTGCCTTTAGCAGAAGTCCCGGCATTATTTTATTGTATTTTCACAATTCTCCTCAGCAGCGATATCAAATTATTGCAGTGGGCTGAAGAGAGAGACAGACAATGCTGACTAAGGCGACAGACAGAAACATTTCATCCTATTCCCTCCTCCTCCTCTCTCCCGAGTTATCAACTCGGGCTGCAACACACTTCTACGTTTGACATCCAGATATTGCACAGCGCCGTCCATCCGGCTGGCACTTTCCAACGAGCAAACTACGCCCCTTGCAGTTGGACTCGGGCTTGCTCAGAGTTGGCCCAACGCCTGCTTCAGCCTCACCGGTTGCAAACCGGGTCTCGTTTCTTTCTGCCGCCCAATCAAGCGCCCCTCACCTGAAGTCGCTGTACGGGTGGATGATCCAGAATCCTGCAGTTTTAACCCTTTCCTGCTCCTTCTCCACCGCTCTCTGGCTGCCGAACATGCGGAGGGAGAATTTGTTGACCCCGGGCTGCAGCATGGACGTCAACTGCCGCTGCATGAAGCCGTACTGGGGCCGCGCGGCGTCGGCATTGTCGAAGCCCCCAGCCGGTTCCTCAGCGCCGCCGTTGCCTTCCAGTTTGAAACACACCGAGTTGCCATGCTCCTTAAGGCTGCCGCCGGCGCCGGCGCTCGGGCTGCTCAGCGCCTTCTCAGCTGCCGTCTTTGCCTGGGAGCAGGCGTTGGTGCTGGGGCTGCCTTCGTCCCGACTGACGGGCGAGGCACACGGCTTGTTGCCCTCCATGGCAAGGTCCGGCGACCAGGAGAGCGCTCCAGCCTGTCCGGCTCCACTCGAGCCGCCGGCGGAGGAAAAGAGAGCGAGCCAGCTAAGGCGAGCCGGCTCCCTCAGAACAGTGAGAGAAGGAGGAGGAGGAGACGGCGGCGCTGCCGGCTGGTCCTACCCGCCCTTCAGCAGCGCTTCACTGCCCTGTGCCGCTCCTGGCATTGCCCAAGCCGGCAAGAGCCGCTTCTCGCTCTGGCACCAACCGAGAGGGGCGGAGAGAGAGAGAGAGAAAGACACAGAGAGAAAGACAGACAGAGAGAGAGAGAGAGAGGAAAAAAAGCCGGAGCCTCCCGCTCCGCGCCCTCTGCTGGTTGAAGGCTCCGCCCCTTCGGCCCCTTCCCTCGTCTCGACATTGAGCGACCCGGCGGAGCCCTTGAGGGAGAGGTGGGGAGGCGGGAGGCGGAGGGAGGGGCCTTTTTTCCTTCAGCTTGGCTGAAGCGGACAAAAGCGCCTCCCGCTCTGTGAAGGTGTTGCCGCTCCAAACCTGACCTGCCGGGGGCTTGGATCGGGATCTTCACCTACGAGTTGTGACACTCGGTCTCTCGTTTAAAGAGAGAGAGAGAGAGAGAGAGAGAGAGAGAGAGAGTTACGGAGCGGGTACACGCAAGGAAGCCCGCGGGAAGATGCTCCCCCCCCCCCCGTCCGCTCCTCTCGCTCACTTTCCAAGCGGTCCCTCAGAATGGCGGGAGACGCTGCGCGTTCTTTCCAACGAGGGTGGCGTTAGGCTGCGCGCTGCAATAGGGCGCAAGCTGCCTTTTGCAGGGCGGGTTGGCTGATTCATAGGTGCTAGTTCGCGCGCATACCCCCCAACGTCGAGCTGCAACTGCTGGCGAGATTGAGCCCTTACAGAGGTGTGAAAGCACTGGGGCTCGAGAGAAACCTGGTTTCAGTTGCTAGCGATGCTTCTCAACTATTGACATTTTGAAGATGTGTAGATCGCAACTCTTGAGAAATCCCCAATTATCCCTGAACATCTTCAAGCTGCTAAGAAACACTGCCCGAAAAAGAAAGGACTAGAAACACCTGTTAAGAAAGCCAATGTCAGGTTTTCCCAGAAGAATTCATAACCCGTTGTATCTGGGACACATTGCCTGTGTAGTTATTGAGCTTTCCTTCATGGCTGATGTTGAAGGAATGTCTAGACACTCATATTTATAAAATTCCTGCATCAGCAAGATGACCTCCAAGGTCCTTTGCCAATTGTGCGATTTCATGTCACTCTGGTCATCTCAGGATGCAATGCTTCTGCTTGTGGTCTTCAAGGTCACAATAATTGAAAACTCCAAAAGAAATATTCCATTTCTTTTGATGGTTTACAGGGGCTGTTCTTTCATTTGTTGTGATCTTGAATGTCACAGGTGAAAGAATAGCAAGCGTGTTTTAACATTGGGTTTGTATCCTTTTAAAAGTTCTGCTTCAGTTTACTGGTGAGATACCCAGAATCACTCAAACCCTATGACTGAATATGGATTTAAACCATCTGGCAGCAACTAGCCAACCTTCCTATCGCCAACGAATTACGAAGAATCAAACATTGAAGCTAGAAAAATCTGAAGAGTGGGAAGATGAAAAAGCATTTTGGAGAAAGTCAAAGGAAAACCCTTATGATATTTTCCTCCACCCCCAAAAAAGTGATGCAGCTTTCAGAAGTCAAACTCGATGGCGTCTTTACTATAACTTTCCTATAATTTTAACCATCAGGATGTATTTCGCACAACTTGGCATATAGGGTGGAAAGGGGCCGTACAGCTTCAAAAGACGGGTATCCTCAGAGTGGGATGAAAAAAAAATCAAGATTGTGACTACAATAGTGAGATCAAAGTTCCACAATACACATGATTTATGAACAGATAGGAAAAAGAAGGCAAAAACTTTGTTTGCAGCCTGGTGGTCCTTTTTATCATGCCCGCCCGTTTGCACCCCTGCTTCACAAAGTAGCTTTGAAGTAGTGCTTTTTTTAGTGTTTTTTCAGAATTTTAAATAACTCATTTCTATTCTACCTTTTATTTTTTGCAAAGAAGAACACTTTTTTTTCCTAAAAATCCTGTAAATTATATCCACAGAGATTTACCCAAAATCATCCTGGAAATTCTGTAATTTAGTGAGGATTTGAGCATAGCTTTGCCCAGTTCTGATCCTCTAATCCAACAAATGATAGGCGTACAGAAAACCTGTGAGCAGCACTATTTTACAATAATCTGTCAGAACATTGTGTACCTCTCTCATTGCAATATTTCTGCTATCCTATGAAGAAGCAAAATCAGGATGCTAACAAACTCAGCCAGGTTCCAAAACCCACAGTCATATTTCCTTTTCTCTTCATTTGCTTTTCAAGAATGAAGTTACAATAGTACACAATAGAATAATATACAATAACATACATAAAACAGAGGATACAGCAAGAGCAGCAAAACACATCTGTATTGCATAATACATATCCCATTCTGAAAAATGTCATTTAAAAATAATTGCTAACATATGAACATTTTGCGCCGGAGTGCTATTTATCTTTAACAATAGTTAACTTTACAAACTGTTCCAATGTTCAGATTTTGCTATACCAGGTCATAAGCTTATATTATTTGCTGTTTTCCATTGTATCTGTTTAAAATGACTGTTGCTTTAAATATACAGGTTCTGTAATGGGAGATTTTGCTGTTAGACTTTTTCTGAAAAGAAGGAAAGAGATGCTTCATGTGTACATCTACATGCTTTACAAGTATTATCTGTGCAGTTCTGTTAAAAGGGCTAGACATGATATAATTTTGGAACACATCACTGAAATCTGTTTTAGAAGCCTGTCTACAAAACATTCTGTCTCACTAGAGTTTGAAGTGATTGTCCTCTTCCTTTTGTATGAGTGTAGGAATAACAGTGCTGAATCATTAGGATTATAGGGAGACACAGACAGAGACACATATTCCTAATTCCACATGACACATGGAGATTCCTTCCTCTATACTAATCTGCGCTTGTGCCATTTAATGTTACTAATTGCTTTAGGGTGAGTAAGGACAGCTGGAAAATGACAGTTGTTTCTTAAGCAGAGATGATCTACTTTAATGTTCAATGGAAAGGTTGAAATAATTGTAATTGCCACAATCCTGAAGCTATGCTGTATCCATGTAGGAATGTGCCTAGGAAAAGTACATTAAGTTGTCAGGGTGCATTCTACCTACCTCCAATATATTTTATACGTCTGAAAATATCTAGTTCATTCCAAACACGACTGATTTTAAAATGATTGTGCAAGCGTTAAACCTGATTCAGAAGAAATGTATTAAACTTATAGAAGCAGCAATGAACCTCACTGCCACTCATGAAAACAACTATGTCTTTTTTCAAGCTTTTGTGTGAGTCTGAAAGAAGATGCAGTTGCTTTAATAGTTGGATTAGGCATTGCATTAAAGCAGATTTACAAAGAAGTCTGGAATAGTAGAAGTCCTGTACCTACATACTTTCTGAAAAAAAAATTATTCTAAATTTTTTTTTGCTGCATCTACTGACCAAAATTTCATTTGCTTTTTACTGATATTATTTTATTTTGTTTACATTTAATTTATTGATTTATTTATTTGTTGCTTATCCTCTTTCTGAAACTAAAGATCCTGTATACATGACCTAAATATTTTGGAAATAGAGAGATTTTGATTTGTTGGCTGAGAAGAACATCCCTTCCCCACCATGCCTCCAAATACTAGGAGCAACTATTAACATCATATTAACATATGGATTCAGTCTGTAAGTTACATCTTGAAGCTCACTTTCTTCTTTTGATGGTGTTTCATAAAGAGATTGGAAGCTATGGATTATAGATTAAAGTGCTAATTGAATCAAGAAACTTGGTTGAATGTAGGATCATAAAGAATGATGTGCAAATATTTGGTCAATGAAGCTCACTAGATGATGTTGGATCAGTCAGTGTCTTTTAATTCAAGGTTCTGCATAAAGTTGTTCTGAAGAAAAATGGGGAGAAATATTGTGTGTACTATTTCTGAGTTACTGGAGGAAAAGTTAGATATAACTATGAGGAATAAATATAGAAATTGCATCTTACAGCAGGAATTATGACCAGAAAGGGTGTTTTTTAATATTTCTATTTGCCACTATATGGATTTATATAACAAATCTGAATTTTCATACTTTTAAAAATAAAAGGTTACTCCTGCAATATAATATCTTATCAGTTATCTTGGTCCATTAAGTAAGATAGGAATTGGTGGAAGTTGATCAAGCATAAGACTTATCTCGAATGATAAGAGCAGCAAATCCAATTTCTATTTCCTTACTGAATCTGCAGACAGCCACCTACAATCCTACTTTGGTGACTAGGTCCCTCCTAAGTAAGAAGTTGGGCAGCCCTTGCAGGCCTGCTGTCAAGCGTGTTACCAATGTTTGATAGACAAAGTTGTTTGATTTCACTTAAAGTCAGATTCTGACTGGGTCTGTTATCCTAAGGAGAAAGATGGGGTCCTTACAGTTGAGAGTTTGGCCATTTGCCTTCCTCCTGGAAGGGGCATGTGGATGGGTCCAAGCATCGGTAAATGTCTCTTTGTAGGAAGGATAATACTGCTTGATTTGAAGAAAGTGATAGTGTGCTCCCTTTTCAAGAGGGCATTCTTGGGCAAACAATGTTGGACAACTTCCATCAAGTCTCAAGAGGTTGGTGTTTAGTTACAGAACACCCTGGGTGAAGCATATTAACTGGACCTTTCTCATGTTACAGTATTGAGACAGGATTGATTGCTCTTGCTGATAACAATTTGGGGTGGGAGGGCTTAGGATGAAGATGATGTACTGACCTTCTTGGACATCTTGATGAATTTCAGTACCATTATTATCCTTCTGGACTGGTATACTAATGACATTCAGTTATACATTCCCACCTTGGGCCAGGAAATTGATGCTGGCTATGGTGCTGGCCCAGTGTCTGGATGCTATGAGAATATGGATGGAGAGGA